TGCTACTACTACTCCTACTACTACTCAGCTACCACCACCATCATCCTCACAGCTATGATTATGATGATGATCATGGCAATGGCGGGGACTACGACTAAAACCAAGGCCACTGCACTGTGTCACGCTGAGTCACATGAGGATTGTTATGAATCATCAGCGAACATGAAGCCTGTATCGCATGATGGTAAGCAGGCGCCACCGGCGGCAGAGCCGGAAACCCCCGCAGAACTTGGACAGTTTCCCATCCTGTCCGAGCCTGGCCTCGTATTCTCTGCCGGCCTCATGACCTGCAGAGCCTCGCAGTAGCCGAACCAGGATCCGCCAGAAGAGGCAGTACCAATACCTCGGCTCCCCCAACCAAGAGTACGACATGAGCTTGGACTTCGTACCGTTGAGGAGTTGAGGCTCGAAACCAAAAAGAGAAGACGGGCAGAGCGAAGGATTAGATGAGGAGTCGAGGATTTTGAGTGCGGTGGCTGAATGCTGGTGCGCCTGAGTTACGGTAGAACCCCGGCTGGCCGGAGAGGCTGGAAGCTACTTGTACTGTGCCAATGCATCGAAGAGGAGATTCTCGAAGTGGTCCGAGCTCATGGGGGCGCTGGGAAACGTGAAGGAATTCTGGAGGGAGCGCGCATATGGAGAGGGTTTTCTTGAACCCGGAAGCCTGCACCTGCAAAGCTAAGGAAAAGGATGGGTCTCTTACATGCTGTGTCCCGGGTTTAGGAGGAGGCATGAGACATGAACTCAAGTGCGAAAGAGCGAAGCTTGCCAAAGCCCGATTTGCACAAGTCTTGGAAAGCAAGCCCCGAGCCGACATGCGCTGGAAGCCTCCAAGATGCACATGCATCAGGCCAAGGACGATGAGCAGCAGCCGGCAAGCATTTTGAGGGCTGACGAGGGGTGCACTGCGGTCATAGTCGCCTCATCCGGACGCATTGGTCTCAAGCTTGCGTCTTCGTTCTGCAAACGCATAGTTTCCTGCATTTGGTTCGCTTGCTACACATGTACATACACACATATATACATAGGTACGTACACACGCACATCCGCATCCATCCAGCTCCACCTCCACCTACACCTACACCTACACATAAACATACATGTGTATGCCATAAGTATGTATATACATGTATATAAGGTCCGCCACATTCATGTGCACGTATGTGTATACATATATACACATACACATATGCATAAAGATATGCATGTGCATATACACATACCTGTACAAATACAAATACATCACATCATTACATATACATGTATAGGTGTATGTACATGTGCATGTACAGGCCCATAAACGCGCACGTGCACGTGCGCATGCACATGTACATAGACGTCGACATATGCACATACACATGCATGCATGTATACATATATAAATAGATGTATATGATATATTTACTTACTTATGCATGTATGTATGTATAATTTTGTTTACATGTATGCAGGGTGCAGATTATGACACACAATGATCAGATGATTCTCTGTTTCCAGAGCCGCGGGACCCCACCCAGGTGCCAAGAAATCTTTCGGGATGGTTGACCTGAGAGCTAAAAGGAAGACACAGTACAAGGAAGCTCTGGCAAAGAACCCTCATAACATTTGCTTTGGCAGATTCCCTGCCTGATGACCTTCAGAATGAAGAAGTAAGTACCTCGGTCTGGGCACGTGAAGTCCAGGAATCCGGAAAGCCTCCTGAGTCTCTCAGCCAGGCTGCGCATCAGGAACCACGTGACCAGGTTGACAGCAAAGAAGCCCTCTGCAAGGAAAAGCCCGCTCTTCGAGTCCTCGGCCACAGAGATACAGCGTCCCGAGCTTTCGTGCGGCACACTGCATTGGCCCTGCATCGCTGAAGAATGGGCTCTTGTCCACGATACACGCACAGCCAGGCGACATACCCGAGGTAGTTCACCATTTTCAACCTTACGAAGGTCTTACAAGTGTTCGCCTCTCATAACTGCCCAGGCACAGATTCCAATTCTAGTTGCTGCTTGTTGAGCGGAATCACGTCACATGTGTCGGAAGGCCCTATTCACGAAAAGATCTGTAGTGGCATATGCAACAACAGCACCCAGGGTGACCACACTGCCACCCGACTGTTCAGCCCTGCGGTGATTCAAAGGGCGGGCTATGAAAATCTAGAAGCACTCCACCGACTCTACCTGCCAACACTTGTCAGGATGTCAACTTGGTCAAACAGGCATAGTTTGGCAAGGAGCAAGTCGACCACGATGTCCGAGGAGTCATGGACGAAGAGGGTGCTCAGCCCTGGTACAGCGATGGGAAGCCGCAACATGCGAAAACACAACCAACGAGCGGCTTCAACATCCAGAGCCTTAGCAGGCACTCGGCAAGAACTTCATGCCTGTCTAAGCCCTGCACCAACTGGCTGCCAGCCGTTGAAGTAGGAGAGCGAGACCAAGCCCAGGGTGGCGACATGATGCCCGTACATCACCTTGCAGCGATGCCATGTGCTGCACTCGTGAATGGGCTTGCCTCTCAGTTCAGGCTCTCAGGCCAAGTGTCGAAGTAGTCGTTGTGCTTGGCCTCCACAAACTTGTGCGAAAAGGCTGTCACAAACCTCAGTAAAATCTTCCAGAAGCTCAGCGTATGATATTAAGCTGGCGAAGGCTAAATCAGCCATGTGGCCGACGCCCCGCCGACACCCTAAACACCCAAGGAGAACGGAAGTAGCCGTACTTCCAGGAAGAGGAACCAGATGGCCAGCTGTGCGATGTACAACGTCCGAAGATCTGGCGGACACTCGCCACCTCAGGTTCCAACAGAGCTGGGCGGGCGGGCAAGCGGCCTACTGACCTAAAGAAACAGTTCCTTGAAACCCTGAACTGATCCTTCGTTCAAGAGTGGCGGCTATCTTGCCAGGGTCGGTCCCAGAGAGTCCTTGCCAGCGCACTCCGCCCAGAGAAAGCCAAAAATGCACCATCAACTTCAATGCCGTTTGCCGGAGATGCGACACTGAGAATACGGTGCAGCATTCTTGCCCAGCTTCGTTGTGTCCGTCCACCACTCCCAGCCTTAGCAAGCGCAAACATGACCGAGCCACCGAGCAATGCACTCACGATGTGACTACAACTAAGCATTTCTCTGCGGGTGGTTTTCAACCCCTTGCACGCAGATCGTCTGAGGATGGCGCCATTCCTTTGGAATAGCAGGACTTCCTGATCACCAACCCGTTTCACGACACGATCAGCCACGCACCTTCTTGTGTGAACATTAGCTGCGGCCATTGGTATGAGTATCAGCAGCACACTACCGATCTGCCTTTAGACCGTGAGTTTCACTTTGTCTGTCGGACTTGCCCGCAACATGTTCCAACTCCAACATGACTCCAAAACCGCACAAAGCCCACATAATCTCCATCTTTGGCATGGAGCGTAGGCGGTCATCAGCACGTGCACAACAAGTTGCCAGGACTGGTCGGAAAATTTTCGAAGGTTCCCTTAGGTCCAGTGGCCCACAAAGGCGAAAGGTTCGGGATTTGATGGTTATGGGCCTGCCTTGAACATGTTCAAGTGTTCGGGCTTACTGGGGCTGCAATGGGAATATCAGACCAAGACATGAAATTTCAAGGCCAGTTCCCGCAGACATCTTTCACACCTGTCCCCTGTCCATGCCAAGTAGCGAGGGGCGGCCAGAGCCTGGAGATCAGGCGATACGTTCACAATTGTAAAGTGCTGACTTATCCACGAGCATGCCCACATCAGTCGTAGAGTCTCGCTGGAAGAAACATGAAAAAACGATGTGTCCGTGAAAAGGGGCGGGAACACGCGGTCTCGCCTCCTTTGTGGACAGCACTCTTCCCACGGCCGTTGCTGCAGCGCGGCCTGTGGCTGCCAAGCAGGCTGCTTGAGGTGCGCCATCCCAAAGAAAGTAAAGCTGCCGCACATGAAGGACCAGCCCCTTTCTCTTGCAAAGCTGGTGCATCTAAGCCACATGCTGCAATCGCCACAGCTGTCACCAACATGTACCTGCATGTCGCTCTCTGTGAGGTGCGATTTCGCTTCTCAAAACCAGCTACGTACGGCAATGACCTCGGGATTCGAAAGATTGCACTAAGCACATGCAACTTCATATTCACCCCTCTGCTGCTTACTCATCCCTGGCCCATGATCGAGACGGCAGAGCAGGCACTGCCCTTTCCGAGCCAAGCCGCACGGCCAGCTCTGCCACGACATGAGACCCTTCATACTGCGTGAAGAGTGCCTCAGTCCGGACCGTCCCGATAGCTTCTAACTACAAAACCCATCTGCTCAAACCCGTCACCACTGCTCATACATGGTCTGACGTGAAACCCTTTCTGCTACTCAGCCGCGGTATCCACGATCAGGAAGGCAAAGCCTCGCTCAAAGGAGTTACAAGAACCCAGCCGAATGGCCCGATCATACTCACAAGGCATCGCAAAGCTCATGCACTGCAGTCTATGTCACTCGCGGGGAACGCAGCTGATCTGCCAGTCTATAAGCCGAGATGCATGCAATCGTCAAAGCCAGATCCAGCTTGGGAAGGTCCGGCCTGCTTTCAGCAAGAATTCCCCTCGTCAGGGAGCCCCGCTGCTTTGTGCATGCTTGCTGCTGTCCAAAAGAAGATGAGCTTCGGACACTGACTTGGAGTCCTGCTTCTTCTTTTTCTTCCCGAAGAAGGGCATGGCACCAATATGCACCGATTGAAAGTGAAGTGCGAACGCGAGTTTTTCACAGAGCTCTGCTGTGGCCGTTTACCGTGCTTCAGAACTTAGCACGGATTGACTGGGGAGGTTGGCTGAGCTTTCCACGTGAGGGAGGATGTGTCTTGCATAAGACAGTAGAGCTAGCTGAATAAGTCCAGCCAAGGACATGCACAGCAGGCGCAAATCCTAACATGTGAGCTGCGACCACGTGGACTTGGTATCTTGACGGGAAGCCGTTGGGTGGACCTCCAGCGCTCTGTTCAGGAAGGAGAAGCACTCGATATCCAGCATGTGCACCTCTTGGACGTCATGGAACGGTGCAAGGCAGGCTTGCGGCATGCAAGTTGCGCACGCAAGTTACGTCCTAGCGCCGCTTCTGTCTGGATCGAATGCTTCCGGCCTCATCGATGAAGAGCACTCCTGGAACAATGTCTGCCTGGCGCACTCGACAGCCGCAAACAGACCCACAGCAGATCTAGAAACACGAAAGCTTCGAAAATCCGAACATCTAAAACCTCACACGAGCCCCGCCTTGCCCTCCTCGCGCCACTCGGCGACCTTGGCATCTATCTGCTCCCGAACCTGACCAGGACAACGTGGCATCTCTGCATTCTTCGGCTTTACTTCGATTTCTTTTCTTAGAAAACCTTGCTCATGACAAGTTCATCAGCATCTGCCACTTCCACTACTGCTAGTGCTACTGCTACCGCTGCTGCTACCGCTGCTCCTGCTACTGCTACTGCTACTGCTACAGCCACTGCTACTACTACTAC